TCCTGCCCTCGCTCCCTATTGTATTCTTTTTTCTTTTTATTTTTTGCATTTATTTAAAAAATCCCATCATGACCCTGGAAGCCTTTAGAACAGTTTTCTCCTTTGAAACACAGGACACATTTCTCCCAGTGTGCAGAATTCAAGTTTACGTGGTTCCGCTGAAGATGGGTACATTTCGCATTTCTCAGAGGACAACAGACCCCAGTTATCACTATGAGAGGGAGTGGCTGGCCCCGCTCCAGTGGGCTATAATCCAGTACCACCACCGTGTGGCGAGATGGTCCGGGCCCGGCTGCTACCCAGAGACACACGGCACAGAGAGTGCCCCTTCTGACCTACAGCTGTGGCCCCTTCACTGTGCTCTCTGCCATCAGGTCGACACCTACTGCTAAGGGCGGGATACACTCCAGGGCTTGGGCACCCAGTCTTTTTTGACAGGGCTGCTGCCTGGTGCATCCCACAACAGCACACTTTGCAGCTCCAACCCCACAGCACTTTTGAAGCAAAGATGGCACCCAGAGGCCTGAGCTGGAGTGAAGCCTGCAGGAGGCAGTGGGCAGCTAACTAGGCCGGAGGAAAACAACAAAGTAACACTGAGGTAAATGAACACAAAAACCCATCTGGAGGTTGTAAACGTGCTGTTGTTTCTCTGTCCCCAAGGGCAGAAGATGGGACTGGTGTGACTGGAGGTGTGTGCCCTAACTGTGGGATACTACCTCTGGGACACCTCAACTGAGCTGGGGAAGAAGTGCGAGTCTCTGCCTCTTGCCTCAGTATGAGGTGAGGCAGGCCAGGCAGGCCGGGCAATGCAATACCTTGGCCTGGAGGGACCTGGAGGCTCAGAACACCAAGGCATAGCTCCTTCCCCCACAACTAGGTGGCTCCTGATCACTGCCAGAGCACACCCTGCAGGTCTACCCTCTGAGAAAACTGTGGCTTGGGATGAACTCCAAGGAAGGAGACCCAGCAACGTCTTCCACAGAGACCTTTTTAAAAGGGGGATTTGCTGGAAATGGGCCAGCATCTAGTTTGATGTTGATTTAACTAAAAATGACCTGCTTGGCTGTTTCTCCCAACAGCCGCCAGCCAGGCAGGGCAATCTGATACCAATGGAGGCTGAAGGCCAGGAATGGGTGACATCTCCCTGCTTTTTGCATAAATCAGCTAATTTAAGAGGTGTTTTATTTCCAGAGAATTGTTGACCCCCTTTTAGGAAGAGGGGCAGAAATCCAGGACAAGAATTTGAAAAATAGGTGGCAGATACTCAGTATATTTCCATGGAAGGCAGCTGTGAAGCAGCTTCCACCTGTGCATGCAGGGCACTAGGTGTCAGGTCACCCGCCTCTCCTCCAAAGCACCCCCATGCCATGCACTCGGGGACACTCTACGGGTCACACTTTGTTCTACTCAGTCCTCTCTCTTGGGGTGGTCTGGGGTGAACCCTGATCTTCATCTTTTAAAAATATTGCCCCAATCTCCCTCCCCCAGGGTGGTCTGGTGTTGGTCCATCTCAACACACACTGGTTACAAACACAGCAAACTTAAATAAAGGGGGGGAAAAATCTCAGGATATGGCACCTAAGCTCCAAAGTAAAACACTGGAAACCAAAGCACAAACTCGTCCTCTGTACGAAGCGAAACTCCCACAGAAGGCCGTAGCCGAGTCTTCGGGGCAAGCCGTGCCTGCGAGAGTGGCAGGGATCAGGGTCGGGGCTGCCCACACAGCCTCGGGGCTTCGAATCATTAAGGGTGCTCCTCCCCCACTTACCAGAAGACCCTCTCACTCCAGTCTCAGAGGGGAGTACTCAGTAGGGTTTGCTGTCATTCTTTGAACGCTTGAGTTGCACTTTGAGCCGCTTCATGCCAATCTGAAAGCCATTCATGGACTGGATGGCAGCTTGAGCCGAAACAGGATTGTCGTAACTTACGAAACCTGCGTCCAAGCAAAAATCCAGCATGAGCAAGTGGGGTCTCAGTCCTCCTTATGCATGACTTAGTCTCAGGTCCCAGTTTTTTTTTTTTTCAGCAGGGACAAACCTCTGGAAATACCACAAAAAATACACTGATCCCTAATAGTGCCACCTGATAGCTACCTACATAGCATTTTTCCCCCAAGCCATTTCTCATACATTATTTTTCCCTCCAGAGCAGAGCTGTGAGCAGATATCATCTCCAGTCCAGATGTGAGAAAACTGAGGCTCAGGAAAAGGTCACTTGAGCTGCCCAAGGCTGGCTGAACAGTACTCCAATCATAATTCTGACTCTTCTGCTACTGGTAACAGCAAGTCTGTTGCTTTTTCTCTCAGTAGTGAACTGTCAAGCTCAACAGCAGAAGAGACATCAACATACCAAAACACTTGCTCAGGTTTGTCTGCTTATCTATAAAAACCTTGGCAGACACGACGTTCCCGAAGGGCATAAACATCTGCAGCAAGTCCTGATCTCCAAACTCCTGGGGGAGGTGGTAGATGAATAGGTTGGCTCCCTCTGGACCTTCAAAATATCCACAGATGCAAAGTGTCAGTGCCAGCATGCTCACCACCCTGTGCCACCAGCCCTTCAACCTGCCTATGCTAAACTGTCACAATCAATACACACAACCTCTAGGGGAAGGAGATTCTCCAAGCAGGAGGCAGGGAACCAAAGCACAATCACTACTATAAATGCCCCCCACAGTACTGAGGCAGACTCTAAGGACGGCAGGGTTTTACTGACCACAGGGAAGGGTGCTGGGACCAGGAGCAGGGAGAGACCAGTGGCCATAGAAGAAAGGAAATAGAAGAGGTTATAATGAAAACTGGCTCCAAAATTGTGCTAGGAATTACAGGGAGAGCAAAGGTGTGGTTGTTGGTAGAAGCGGTAATGAGCCCAGTCAACGTCTGAGGAGCAGGAGGGAGTATCTGGGGCGATGGATGATCTAATTTGAATGATAGCAAAAACAGGATTTTGGGACTTAACAAAGATCTTATGAGCTGTATAAAAAAGTGGGTGAATTAATCATTGGTAAACTGCACTTTGGCAAAAGGAAAACACCTTTTAAAAACTAAGCCTAAGGGTCGGGGAGATAGCTCAGCAGAATAAGTGCTTGCCTGGCAAACGCAAGAGCCTGAATTCAATCCCCGGTTCTGCCAAATAAATAAATAAATAAAAACAAAACCTGAGCCTATGATTAATACTGAACACAAGAACATAACAGAGCTGGGGATATAGCACAGCACCTGAGTTTGAGCCCTGGTAAAGACCAAACCACCCAGCTCTTCTCCAGAACATGCTGCTGCAGTGCCTTTGAACTTCTAGTTCCTGGCTTGCTTCCATGAGCTCCCAGTGAAACGTCTCCTTTGAGAGTTGCTTTGAACACTGTGCATGAGCAGCAGTGACTCTCACACTCCTTTTGCACTTAGGACAATTTAGAGGACCAGCTCAAGTAACCCGTGCTTTTAGCTTTTTTACTGTGTCTCTGCTGTCTCCACAAAATTATGGTTTACAGCGGGGTGTGGTGAGGCATACATAAAACCCCAGCTCTCGGGAGGCTGAAACAGGCAGCCTGGGCTACCACCTCAGTGCAAAGCCAGCCTGAACCACACAGGCTGAGACCCTGTCTAACATCACATCACATCACGTAACACCACATAATTCCACATAACAATACACAATAACATATAACAACACATAACAACACAACACAACACGTAACGGTTTAGGAATGATGCCCCCACCAACACATCTCCAGAGTAAGGAAGTGTGTAATTCTCAGGCACGCAAGGAAGGACACAACAGCACTTCCCTTTTTTTTGGTGGAACCAGGGATTGAACTCAGGCCCTTGTGCTTGCCAGGGAAGTGCTTATTCCACTGAGCCATCTCCCTGGCCCCACAACACACTTCTTGTTGCTATAGCTAAGTAGATATGTATCTCTTTCCTATATTAGTGCTTAAACCTTTCATGGTGATTAAAAACCCAGTAAAAAAAGAAAAGTGCCCAGGCATCCCCTGGACTATCTCTCCTACAAACCACTGTCAGGCCTTGTCTAAAACGGTTCTCCTGAAATTAATTTCACTTACGTCAAAGGACTGATTTCCTATTCTGCCAGCCCACTTCCATGAAGTCCCAAATGAAATGTCCCTAACTCTATCCCATCACCCATTTCTCCTTGATGAGGACGAGAACCAGTTAGAAAGCAAGGAAAATATCACAGAAGAACCTAAGATTTATAACCCAGAGAAAAGTCTTCCTAAAAAAAGAATCAATTAAAAAAAAAATTCAATGTCTAATGATAGCAGACACAGGATGGCCAGTTTCTGTTTCACTATCAGAGAACATCACAATTCCCAGGACTTCACAATCAACTCCCAACATAGGTCTGAGCACCTCTAGGGGTCCACAGCCTTTGCCTGCCTCCCAGTCCCCATGCATGCCCTAACTCCCTGACACTCACCTTCCTTCTGGCTGCCAGCAGCACCAATACTCTGCTGTGTCAACAGGTTCTGGTTGTACAGGGTGGGGAGAGCGGCGGCAGCATACTGCTGGATACCAGAGTAGGCCTGAGTGAGGGCCTCCATGGTGCTCCCAGTGCCGTTTGAAAGGCCACTGCTGCCCAGGCCACCATTTAGAGCAGCCATCCCTTGGTTGAGGAAGAGCAGCATTAATTAATGTGAAGGGCTCCACAGAGCAAAGATGGGTACACTTAGAGATAACCCCATAGTTCACCCTTTCACCTCTTATGGCTTCTACCTGGTCAGAGCTTAGGACATCAATACCATTCCCAGGTTCAAGAACCAACACCACTCGTACGCCTGGCTCCATCTCCTCTGTGGCTGTTCTATCACTTTCTCATACAAAGGTGGGAAGTGATATAATAAGGGTTTCAGGACTGAGGACTAAAAAAGGTACAAGTGATCCTCTTAATGAGAAAATATGGGTTCACTCCATAATCAAAATAGCAACTAACTTCACTGTGTTTATTCTACTCATTAAGCATCAGGCTAAACTCTGAGGTAAGCAATGTTCATCAGCACTTGGCCTATGTTCTCGGTGCCCTTATCATCCTCCATGGTAGTCTTTCACTGCTGCTTCTCAGATGAGGAGGAGGACTGACTTTGAACTAACATTCATTTATTCATTTATTCATTTATTCATTTATTCATTCATTCATTCATTCAGTGGTACCGGGGATTGAACTCAGGACCTTGTGCTTGCCAGGCAAGTGCTTACTCTACTGAGCTATCTCCCCAGCCCCAGGACTGACTGTAAATCACATCTGCATTTCTAACTATTCTGGACTATTGCAATTATGCTAGTAGGTGGGCCTAAATATGCCACTTAACACAATGAATGACCTTCTGACAACAAGGGCTGTCTTTTACCTGCCAAAGAGCCAACATTGAGGCCAGCCGTTGCTCCAGCGAGTGTCTGCAGGGCTCCAAGTGAGGCTATGGGGTTGACAGAATTACTGCTGCTGGAGCTGGGTGAGGACCCTGCTATTAGAAATCCTGGAGTTAAACTCAAACCATCTCTAACAGCTGAACCTTGGAAACAGCCTACATGCCCATCAAGATGGGCAGATGAATGTACACAGAAAATGCAGTGCTTATACACAGTGAAGTACGACTGTGCCGTTAAGGGATAAATGTGAGGCATCTGAGCTAAATGGATGAGGCTACAATACTAAACTAAACTAGATACACTTAAATTTAAGTATCATATGATTTCTCTTTAAGAATAAAATAAAAGATGGATAATAGGAAGCATGCAGATCTTTTTTCAAATGGGGAGAACAACAAGACATGGAGAGATCAGGGAGGGATGGGAAAATAATTCAGATGTATTATGTAAGTATACAAACCTCCACCCCATCATAAATGTAATCATTATGTACTCCAAGTACACACTAATAAAATGTAATTAAAAATAGCTTTCAAACTTGTCTATAATAGTAAACTGACAGATACCTAAGAGTGATTCTATCCAGAGATTCTATCTGAAAACAGGTTTTGCATTTTAGTAACTGTCCTTGTAGGGCAGAGACCAATGATTATAACAGACTAAAAGTTAAAACCAAGAGATTTTGTAGTTGGTAAACCCACCTCTCTGGAGACAGGCAATAACCCCTTTCCAGCCTCCCCCAACATCCAACATGACAGAAAGGAGAGCTGTTGGAGGCCCCTAAGGCACTGTGGCACCTGTTCCACACTTACCTGAACTGGTAAGGACGCTGAGGGGACTGCTGGATGTGGTGAGAGCATTGGTACCACTGGGTGTATTCTGAGCTGCACTGGCTGCAGCAGCCAATGCAGCCAAATTCTGTAACTGCATCGCATTGAGGCCTGCAACAACCAAAGCCAAGAGTCAGCCAGCAGGTAAGGTTGGCCGATATCCACTCCAGTGATAGTGGCACAGTAACTGTTCTGGATAAGCCTTATAAGCAGTATCACAGGGTTCCAAAAATGATGTAGACATGGCAGGAGTGGTGGTGTGTGCCTGTAATCCCAGCACTCTCGGAGGCTGAGGAAGGAAGATTTCACACAGAGCCCAGCCTGAGCAACTTAGTGGGACCCTGTGTCCAAAAATAAATGCTGGGGATACAGCTCCGTGTCAAGGTCCTCCTGGGTTCAATTCACAGTATCAATCAATCAATCTATGAAGAGAAATCTGAAATCACTTCTCAAAAGAGTTGGCTGACACAATAGCATCACACCTTGTGAGCACTGATATTGGGGTGGGCAGTAAGGAAATCACAGGAAAAACAGGTATTTGTCCAACTGCAGGTCAGAAATCCCAGGAACAAACTGACTCTAAGAAGCAGAACAGGACTGCATGTAATACTTCACTCAAACTTTCCAGGGACTATTGTGCAATGAAGGAGAAGAAGCAGAAAAGGCAGAAGAGACCCACAACTCCCAAGAGGAATATGCGAGAATGCAGAAGAGAACAGCAATGCCACAAAGAAGAAAACTTCAGCATTTGTACAGCAAATTAATTATCAGAGGAAACATACAGTTAGGCAAAGATTTGCAAACAGAATTGAGATAACAGAACCGAGAAGAAGCAGCGTGAACTGTGCCACAGATGCTGTAAGCCATTCACTACTGGAAGGGCAGACTGTGGGCAAGGGGCAGGCTGAGCAAGGGAGAACAAAAAGTGCCTATTACAATCTAGCAACTTTTTGAAACCACAGCCATTAAACTCCCAAAGAATGGGGCTGGCCAAATAGCTCAGGGGATTAAAGCACCTGCAAGCAGACGCAGGGGCCAGAGATGATCCCAGGGCTTGCTGTAGGTGTTGGTGCTGGCCCTATCCCCGGGGGTGCACAAAGACAGGATTGAGACTGGGTGTGGTGGTGCAAGCCTGTAATCCCAGCTCTTGGGAGGCTATAAATAGGCAGATCACTACAAGTCACATCTAGTAGTGAGACCCTGAACACCCTGTAGACCTTTTCCTAAAATACAAAAATAAAACTCCCAAAAGACAGTGCAAGGTCAGTGAGATAGCTCAGTGGCCTAAGCTTTGGCAAGCACAGGGACCAGGGTTTGATCCCTGGTCCCAAATGCTGCACTGGCCCCGCCCCCTGAATGCGCTGAGCTGGTGAGTGCATCTGGGCATGGTGATGCACCCCTGTAATCCCAGCGCTGGGGGGGCTGAAAACAGGAGAATCACTATGAGTTCAAGCTGCATAGTGAGACTCTGTATCAAATACATTTAAAAACAAAACAAACAAACAAAAAAGTGAACCATGTTCACACTGTAAGTCACAGTTCACTGAAGAGTCCCCTTTATCAGATGTAGTACCTCACTTCCCCAGGTGAGGGGGTGGGCATGGGCAGCTCTGGAGCCACCTATTCTCTGCCTCCACCGATCTCAAGATCCACCTACGTACTCAGGTCACAATAAATCCCGGCAAAGGTTCTGTGAAATGGCACATGTGGGATACACAGTGCATTCACTGCCTGGGTCCTATTGGCTTCAGAAAGGGCCAGGTGCATGGAGGCCGTCCTTGGCTGAAGAGCTCCTATACTTCCTACTCATCAGAATGGCCTCAGCTGGCCTCTAGGTGTAATACTTCTTTCCCATCTCCAACAGTGATTTAGGAGGGTGGTGGACAGCAGCACCCAGCAGGCAATATGACATCAACCAGCAACAGAGCCACCTTACAGATGCAAGACAGTTGAGTCCGGGGACAGTCACCTGAGGGTTTTTGCTTTGATTATTCATTCTGCATTTGCACAAACACTGTGGGTGGGACTCTCAGCCTGCTGGCAGCCAGGTCTGCTGGCCTGGGCGCTGCTGCTCCTCCGTGGTGGTGGACACTTACCTCCCATTGGGTGGAGGCTGCTCAGGGTGTTGAGGTTCCCAGAGGAGGCAGTCTGCTGAAGGAGCTGCAAATAAAGCTAGACATTACACCAAAAAACAGAACAAGAGTGAGAGTGAGGGCTGGTTCTGCATCTGGGATAACTCTACAGCACAGCAAAGCGAGAGTGCAGAGGCCCCCAGAGGAAAATCCGAGACGAGACCCCAAGCTGTTGACAGAAACACAAGCCTCGTGACGGTGCAGGACAGAACAACACAGCAAAATCATTAGGCCACAAGAGTGCACATTCGATGGACACCGGAGCCATGTGGTGGCAGTCCCCACACAGCACACAGCAGAGGACAAAAGCGGCACAGGGACAGAAGCTAAACTCACAGAGCGGCACAGCTCACTGCCATCAATGCCAGCACAGTGACAACTACATATCTAGTTTCTCTCTGAAATTCTCCTTCCTTAGGCCAACACATCCTGTTCTGCAAACTGTGCACATCTGGATACCCAATTTCTATTTCCTACCACTGTTTCACCTATCGTATCTGACCACTTTACAGTACTTCTTTGATGTTATCTCTGACCAGCCATAAGGCACCCAGAGCTCCTGAGCACCCTATAGATCCAGCTGTTTATCTCTTCTCCTCCAAACTGGTCTTCACTGCTTGGGATGACCAAATGATGCACAGTCAGTGTACACAAAGTCTGGCATACGTTCTTTCAGTGACTGCCTCTGTCATGAGTAAAACCAGGGGTCTGTCCATGAGCTTAGAACTTTCTGACCTTGCTGCCACTTGGCAAGCTCAGCCTTTATCCAATTAACCTAGTGAAAACTTGTGCTCCCTCCATACCCAACTGCTATTTCTAATGGAAAACTAGCTTTCTTGTACCAGGATCCTTTTTCGGCTCATTTGTCATTGCTACAGACATATGACCTGTGCCCTGAATCCCTCTAGGGTAGAGTTTATAGGAAGATTTCAGGTTAACCTTCAGAAGGATAATGAATGAAAACAACGCAAGTAATTTTTACCATTTCTATCTTTTCTCCTTTTTCTGACAGGGTCTCCCTACATTACCCAGGCTGACTTCAAACTCACAATCCTCCTACCCACACCTTCCAAACAGCTGGGATTATAGACATGTGCCACCATGTCACATTCTTTTTCACTTCTGAAAGGGGTCCACAACCCCATAAAGAATCACTGCCCTAGTCCATCAGAGGTCAGACGGCTCAGCCCACAAGTCCCAAGTCTTCTGAGGAAAGATGCTGTGCTGTCATATCCAGTTCCACAGCACCTGTGCGTCCTCACTTCTGTCTTAAATACCCTGGGCAAAGGGTTTAGTCCTAAGTGGTGGACTATGCACACTGGATGTGGCAACTCTTATCTCCTCTCTAAATGAGAACAGCTTTCTTTGCCCAGCATAGTGGTGCACACTTGTAATCTCAGCACTTGGGAAGCTAAGGCAGGAGCATCCCTGTGAGTTTAAGGGCAGCCCGGGCTACATAGTGGGTTCCTGGCTAGCCTGAACTGCGTAAGAATCTTGTCTCAAACAAAAAAACAAATCAAAGAACACCTTTTAGGGCAGGTCTCTTTCTAACTGAAAGAGACCAAGAATCTCAATACATATCACCGTGTACTTGATGAGTGTGACAGCGACACTAATATCCCTAAAAAAGACAATCAAAACTTTTGTGAGGGGCTGGAGAGATGGCTCAGTGGTCTAAAGCACCTACTTAGAACAAGCTTGGCAAGGCATCAGGGACCGCGGTTCAATCCCCCAGCACCACATGCCAGCCAGCCCCGCCCCCTGGTGGGCTGAGCTGGCCACACACACACCTCCCTCTCTCTCTCTCTCTCTCTCTCTCTCTCTCTCTCTCTCTCTCTCTCTCTCTCTCTCTCTCATAAATAAAAATAAAAAAAAAAAAAACTTTTGTGAATTTTCTGATTCAGAGAAACATAAGGTAGGCAAACTGGGATTCCTTTAAGATTGTAGAAATATGGAAACCAGGGGTTATCAAGTTACATAAAATTTAGTACTGAGGAAGAAAAATCAGTGCCTTTTCTGTTTCCATAGAAAACATTACTTGAAAGAATGAATGATGGTATTAGTTATTCCTATGTGGATATTTGTAGAACACCCAACATGAATTTGGTGGTTTCACGAGTTATAGCTTCAGAAATGAGCTTTTTTAATTTTCTGACTCATAGATAAGACAGTGCCAGGTAGCTAGGCATGGTGGCACATGCCTAGAATCCTAGCCCTTGGAAGGCTAGGCAGGAGGATCACCTGAGTTTGAGGCCAGCCTGGGTTACCTATTGAGTTCAAGGCTAGCCTGAAATATATAGTCAGACCCTGTCTCAAAAAGCAAAAAAAAAAAAAAAAGCAAACAAAACAAGATAGTCTTGGTGTCTTGTGTTAGCCACAATTTTTTGAAGGGTTCAAGTAAGAACAATAATCATTTATATCGTATATTGAAAACTAACTCAATCTAAGTAACAAATTGGAGCTGGAACTTTTTATGCTATGTGGCTCAAAATCAGAGAGACCAAGTTAAAGAAAATCTAGTTACAATTTTGAATTCAAATATATGCCTATAATGCTCATTTAATAATATGCATGTTAATCCCATTTATTATACTTTTTTTTAAACAGGAAGGGTTTATTTATTTTTATTTTTGATGGAACCGGGGATTGAACTCAGGACCTTGCGCTTGCAGGGAAGCACTTATTCCACTGAGCCATCTTCCCAGCCCCCTATTATGCTTTAGAGAGGAGACTCAACAAGGATTCTGATGATGCTCTTTGCCTGTAGAGAAAGAGAAAGGGAGAACGATCCTTGGTAGTTAAGATTCCCTCAGAGATTTTTCTCTTGGAGTCAGGAAAGTATAAGTTATTTCTGAATCTCCAAGATAGTCTAAGATTGCACTTTAAAATAGTAGCAAAATCCTCAAGATATAGCTGAAGACACCAAACAAGGAGAAATGCAGACAGATACACATGACTTAAAGGACCTCACAGTGCCTAAAGATTTTTACACAGAATCTCTATGCACAAGTTGTAAGTGTCGCTGTGTTTGTCAGCGAAGGTTAGCAGAAGAAATAGCTGGGAGCTTGCACAGCCTGCAGAAAGCACACCACAAAGACTCACTGCTAAGTATTGGGGTCCGAGAGTGTTCAGCCCAGCAAGGTTCCCCCACACAGACGCTGCACTGATCTGCTGCATCTGCTGCTGGAGCTGCTGGGCCATTCTCTTCTGCTCTTTGTCCTTCTGTGTATCAGCAAACTTCACCACCATGGGGGATGAGCAGCCCTAGGAAAAATCAAAACTAACTGGTCAATTCTTTCTGGGTGCAGAACAAAATCTCTTTTAGGTAACATGCAGGCTGAGCTTTTATTTCACTTAGCAAAGATCCCTCCTCCTGATAAACAGATGGCAAAAGACAATTTAAGGAGGCAATTATTCCCAGTATATTACTTTTATGTGTTTATGGATTCATTTCTTCCTGTGTTATACAGGATGGCCTCAAACTCCTAGATTTTAAGACATGTGACGTTCATGCCTCAGTCTCCTCAAGAGATGGGACTATAGGCACACACTACTTTGGTGTAGCATGTTAATTTAAAAGAAAGCATTGGTTTTTAGCCTTAAGACAGACTGGCAATTCAACACCATGTGAGCTGCAGGACTCTGATGGCCAACTGTCTATACTCTCAAGCTAAGCAGTTTCCCCTTCACCTGTGTGCTCCCTACCTCCATGGTCTGTGCTTGGTGCATGGCCTTGATAGCTGTCTGTGCCATGGCTCTTGTTGTAAAAGTCACAAATGCACAACCTGGTAAGAGAAGTCAGTAACTCATCCATTCACTTGCTTACACTGTATTTCCCCCAAAAGAAGACTGAACAAAAGGAGCCCTACCACGACTTTTTTTGGATGCTCCTAACATAATCCCTACCCTAAAATAAACCCCAGTTAAGATCATCAGCCAGATGGCCTCAAACTCCTAGATTTTAAGACATGTGACGTTCACGCCTCACAGATGCATTTGGTATGTCTGTTGCAACACGAGGGACATACTGAATTATAAAATAATAGTAACACAAAATTAAATGTTTATTATACTGATATTATTTTAGCATTTTTATTATTCAATTACATTATTTTTATTAGATATAAGTAATATTTTTGACATTAACACTTAAACTAAGTGGTAAGTATCTATAAATGCCCAAGTGAGTGCCTTTGGACAAGAGGTAAAGGCCGATGTAAACAGAAGAACTTGAGATACTGCTGAACATCAGAGTACAGACACAACACACAAGTAAGTGTGTGCACTTGATAATAGAAATTGTTTTGTCTAACATGAATCTTCATAATTCAGTATCTCATACGCTGTAACAAACGTATTTAATGCAATCATGTGAAATAAATGCTTTGTGAACTTTGGCACCTTGAATTTTTGGTCACTTGTATGGGTTATTATTCTCAAATGTCCCATTTTTGTTGCTATTCCTGTCTCCCGTCTTCAATTAACACTTGATTGATTGATTTTGGCAGAACCGGGCATTGAACTCAGGTCCTGGCGCTTCCCAGGGAAGCGCTTATTCTACTGAGCCATCTCCACAGCCCCAACACTTGATTTAATGGAAACTTCGTGAAGCCCAGCCTGCAAGAGGTCATGAAAATCACTGACCACCAAGCTGCCAGAGCACTGTGAACAGGCCACCTGGACAAGAGAGCATTAAAGGAGCAATGGGGGCCAGCGGCTCTACAGGAAATGGAGTCACATGAAGCTCAAGCCAGAATTCAGGATTTGGAGTTACAATGATGTTCTAGAAGATATGACTATACTAAAATGAATAAAGATTTATATAATTGAATATATGTGATAGTTGTACATAAAAATGACAAGCCATTTATTGCATCTTTTGGAGCAAAAATTACATATGATCCAGTTTTATTTTTTGGGAAATGTGGTTTATCTGACACTGATATTGCACCTATTCCATTGGCCTGGTCTCAGGGGCTTCTGAGCCAGTAGAAGAGCTAGGTATATCACAGTGGGGTAATAAGTGTTAGAATGAAAAACCAGGGATCTGTACACAGGACAAGTGCTTGAGGAAGAAGGAATTATATCCTCACATTCCTCTAGAAACAGGGAAGAAGAAACACTTCCATCTGGCAACACAATCCTCTCTAAGTACACAAAGAACATTTCAATAGATGACACTGAAGTACACAGTGTTACTCCTTCGGGCTGGTGGCAGACACCCAGAAGAGCAGTGGTCCAGCAGGAAGAGCCGAACCTCCTCACTATGACGGGGCAGGGTAAGGGCGGGGGTGGGGATGGGGTTGGTGCATGGCAAGGATCTGATTTCCAGTGGTCCAATTACATAAACTCTAAGACAAGCATTTCTAAAAGCTGGAAGTATACCACCTCGGCTCAGGCCATCAGGTCCCCGCAATATCCGGCACTCTTCAATCTGTCCAAATGAAGAGAACATGACTCGGATGTCATTTTCAGTGCACTTCTTGGAAATCATACCAATAAACAGCTTCCTGTCTTCCACTGCTAAGAGAGTAAAATACAAAATGCTTAAGCACTGCTACCAAAGGGCAGCACAGTGTAGATGTGGGAACCAAGCTACCTGTCATGGGAATCCTGGCTCTTGCTTCGTATCTTAATTTCAGACACCAAGGAACCTTTTTTGTGTAACTCAGCATCTCCTCTTGTGACAAGCGCTATCTTAGAATTACATGTAGTTGGAAGTATTTCATGAAATATGGTAGCTTTGGGCTGTCATCAAGTTACTTAACTAATTTATGGCGGCCTTTTCGCAGTAATGATCACGTGACCAGGTTCGCCTCTAAGGGGAGTGCAGGTACTAAATGCAAACTACTTCTCATCCTGTAAAGTATTTTTGCTACTTCTAACAATACTGAGAAGAGGAAAAGGTTTTAAAACCTGTTATAACCACAAATACGAAAGATACCTTTTAGTGAATAGAACATTTACTTTATCTACTTTCTTTTTTTTAAATTTTTTTTATTTGTGTGTGTGTGTGTGTGTGTGTGTGTGTGTGTG